AAGAGGTTCAAAAGTTAGTAAAAAGTCCTTTGTGACTAAATGAAGCATGGCTTTCTGGCCCAAACCAGTTTCAGAGTCTTCTATCCTGGAGATAAGTAATTCAATTATCTCCCAGGACAGACACAAGACTCCATTAAGCACATGGTTGCAAAAAGACACAAAACACTTTAAAATACATAAAGTCACATTTTACACATAACACACAGACATTTCACATATCCCCAGATAGCTCAGGTCTGAGCGCACATTATTAAGTGAATGGCGCTCGGACCACACAAATACAGTTTAATCGCCATGGAACCAAAGTCTTTATAGTCAGTTTCATACGAATGGGCTCCATGGGATTCCTATCTGGGGTATAACACATTCACATAAGGTCTGGTCCATAGTCCAAAGGCAAGAGGCGGGCAAGCAGCCCCCTCCAAGGACACGTGGCGAGGCCGGTTTCGCCACACACTCAGCCTCCCTACTTTTGGGATAGCTGGGTGGACTTTTCACCTGGGGTCCAGTGGGGCTGCTGGGCAGGGAGACGGCCGGACGTGTGGCAAGGGAGCACTTTCCCCTGAGCTCTCTCTACTCAGCTCACTCGTCGCAGAGTGATGCCGGAACCGGAATATGACGTCCTATTCCGGCTCCCAGCATTACTGCGGGTCGCGCAAGGGAGCTCAGGTGAAAGTGCTCCCTTGCCACCCACCTGGAAAATAACTGGACGCCTGTCCCAAGGGAGCCCAAAGGTGGCCAGCCCTTGGGCTCCCATAAAACGAAGCAAACAAGGTATTCGCCTGGGCATTTGGGGGCGGCGGTTTTTGCCGCCCCCAGGAAATTGCCACCCAAGGCAAATGCCTTGTTTGCCGCGCGGTAGACACATCCCTGCTCCCAGGAGAAGATGGCAGTGCCCGCAAGAGACAGGTTCAGGTAAGTAGAACTCACTTTTGCCATTTGCTTTGTGTGATAGTGGCTCTCTCTGCATTGTCTGGCTGCACTGGCAGAATACAGACAGTCACAGATATAGTCAGTCTGTATTCATCTCTCTGAAGTTCATAATGTTGTGGCTTTGCTGCACTGTGAACTTAAAGGGACACTGTAGGCACCCAGACCACTTCAGCTAATTGAAGTTGTCTGGGTGCTGTGTCCCTATTGTACTTAGTGCTGACATTTAAAATACTGCAGTTCCAGAGAATTGCAACGTTTTTTTATTGCAGCTATAAGTCTGCCCTCTATCAAACAGCCACTGGGGGGGGGCGCTTCCAGGATCCAAACGGACCTTTGGTCGGTTATCTGACGCTGGACGTCCTCACGCTCTGCATGAGGACCTCCAGCGTCAGATTTTCCCCATAGAAAAGCATTGAATAATGCTTTCCTATGGGGAGGTCTAATGTGCGTGCGGCCATTGCCCCACACGCGCATTGGGTCTCCCCCGCTGACATTAAGCTGATGCCAGCAGGGAAGGAGCATGGGCGTAGCCTGACCCAGCGCCGAGGGACATCGGTGCTGGATTCAGGTAAGTGGCTGAAGGAGTTTTAAACAGCTTCAGCCCCGCGGGAGGGTGGGGACCTATAGTTTTAGGAAAACAGCTTTGTTTTCCTGGCACTATAGGATCCCTTTAAGGAAGTTTAATAAAAGGAAACTTTTGCAAACAAAATGCATTTGCAAAAAACAAATTTAATCCTCTACACCAGTGCTTCTCAACCTTTTTTTCACTTGAGTACCCCTTGGCAGCCCATTTCCATAAAATTGTACCCCTCTTATTAGCAAAATGTTAATATAGTTGCTGTTATTTCAAATGTATATGCTTTTCTCTGCCCCAGACACCCCTTTTTTCCTGCCACAGGCTCCCTCTGCTTCTCCTCTGTCCCATGCCCCTCCTCTGCCCCATGCTCCCTCTGCTTCTCCTCTTCCCCAGGCACAATGACAAATGCAGATACACTGACACAAATACTGATACAGACACACAAAATCACGTAGACACTGATACACACATACATATGTACAGACACACAGCTCCAAGTAATGACACTCACACAGATACCAACACTTAAACACATGCATATACAAACACTGACATACACAGATGCACAGACACACTAATACACATACTGGTACATAGATACAAACATTGATACACACTGCCATACCTGCCGATACGGAAAAAAAGTGGTCTGGTCACCTCAACACACATGCATCATAACAGACACACAAACATACACTATGACAGACATATACTCACATTATTGCTTGATTTTGTACCTGGGGTCCAGTGGGCAGCATGCTGGGGGATTGTGCAGGCAAGCGGCAAGTTGGGTCATTATGGAGGAGAGCGGCATGCTTAGTGGTCATGGAGGCGGGCGGTTGGCTGCGCCTATTGATTGTTGCCAGCTCCGAGGAAGGCGGACGGTGGAAAGGTAGGGGGTTATGGAGGTGGGCAGCATGCTGGATGGCCATGGAGCCAGACGGCTAGCTGCGTGAATAGGAGTGCGGCGAGGGAGCTGTGATGTCCCTGCTCTGCTCCTCCACACGCCGCTTAGTGAGACCGGGGCAGAAATATGATCTTACATTCCGGCCCCGGTCTCATTAAGCGGCGCGTGGGGAAGCAGAGCAGGGACATCACAGCTCCCTCGCCGCACTCCTATTCACGCAGCTAACCGTCTGCCTCCATGGCCATCCAGCATGCTGCCGACCTCCATAATCCCCTACCTTTCCACCGTCCGCCTTCCTCGGAGGTAAGGGGCTCGCATATCCCAGGCGCCATGGGATTTGTCGAGACCTAAGATATACACACACCGACACATACACTGACACACACAAACTACAATTCTAGCCACCCTCCAGTTTCTTACCTTGGAGGTGCTGGAGGGTGGCTTCCATGGCTGGGGCTGATGGGTGTGAGGGTATTGTTGCTCCTCCCCCTCCCACGCAGCAGGTTCTCTTTGAGCTGGGTGTCAGTGCCCGCCTTACTCACTTCCTCCCAGCTCTCCGGGAAGGTTAGAAGGGGCCCGGTCGCTCTATTAAAGAGCCACAACGCAAGACCGGGCCCCTTGTGGCACATGTCTATCGGGTGGCCCTGAGTGCATGGGCCACCTGATGGACCTGTACCTTCGCAGTTACCAACCAGTGTGGCAGATTTTTTTTTTGCGTACTACGGCTTGGGAACCCCTGCTCTGCACTGCTAGCTCGTTCGTGCAGGGTCCTCAGCAACCTATTGTTCCTGTAACATTTTGTAATTGTCTTGTTTATTGTTAAACTTACCGTATCCCCTTTATAATATCGTAAAGCACTGTGGATTAAGTTGGCGCTATATAAAATGCCAAAAATAAAAATAATTAGCAATTACGCAAAATCCTGTATACACTCTGGCAATTGTGTATAGCTGACGATGTGAGGGGCTGATTTTAATATGTGGCAGACTTTATAAAAATAAATTACTATAAACACTGCTCTGTTGTATTTTTCGATCCTTAATGAATAAAATAGTTTTTTTTTCCTTACATCACTAATTACATTATAAAATAAAATGACTAGAAGAATGAACTTGGCAGATTATAAGAACACAACAGCTTACTTTGAGGTATTTACCATCTATGTGAGCTGCTCCTGTGCTGGGAAAATGTTAAGGAAAAGTATTTTAGCCCTAAAAAGCTTACATGTGAGGTGTCCTAGTCTAAGTCAGCAGCCACATCGATATTTACTAAACTGACGACTTTTCTCGCGTTTCCCGCCCAAAAACGGTCAGGACTGATCACCTGAAGGTGAAATTAGGCGGGAAAAGCACGGTTGATTGACAGCGAGGGGGCGTGACTTATCCGCCAGCAGAGGAGCTGCGTCTTCCAATGCCGTGATTGGCTGGAAGGGAGAGGCGCGTGCCGTGCGCCTGACAGACTATTGGCTGCTGGAGTTAGCTGTAAATAAACTACAACTCCCGTGAGCATCTGACCGGAAGTTTGCTTGGCTGATCTTGGCAGGTGTAGTTGGCATGCCAATTAAACATGACCTCAAGTTTACTAAATTAAATTTTTTTTTTCTTTCCTCACTGAATTGCTGTAAAAATATTGATTTCCTGTTTGAAGTAATTAAATATTTCTTATGCAAGTTTTGTCACAAATGTAGCCATATTATACAGTATTATTATATATATATATATATATATATATATATATATTTAATAAATATACATTTTTATTTTCCCTTTAGACCAAGGATTCATAAAAGAGATGGCAGCCTGCCCCAGATTCCCAGAAGAAGTCTATATGTCTGGTTTTGTCAGTGTGTCTGGCTGTTCCTGGCATTTCTAACAGGTTATCAAGAATTTTGTTTTAAATAATTAAACCAGTTATCCTTCTTCATACATGTTTTATATACTTTTAAACATTATTAGTCTTTGTAAACCCTCGCCGCTGCTTGTTTTTTTTTTTACCCGTTATTATGAATAAAGGGTGAATTTCTCCACGAGATGTGGCTGTCGCATATACTCAACAGTACTATAAATACCAAGTGATGAGCTGAGGTGTCACCACGTAGTGGTAAAGTGACCCTTGCCTGGCATTATCAGACGGTCAATTTAGGAAAATATTTGACACCAAACCACAAAACTTAAACCAGAAACCTGCTGGCAGCATAACACAGACTGTAGTGGTTATGGTGCTTACTAGCCACTCCTTTGATGTTCGCCAGTGTGCAAATTGAATTTTTGTGTCATTAATTTGGGCTTGTAGAACTTTAAAAATCTACGGATTACGATAAAAGATAGCTGTATGGGTACTGTCTGATCCTAGTTCAGGCACCTGTCAGCACTGATTCCATAGGTAAATCATAAAAAATATTCAGGTTCAGTAGGCAATGTTTTAAGGGCATTTAAATAATAAAAAAAAAAAGTGTTAAAATGGATAAACCAGTTATTCCCCCTTTTCTAGTATATCAGGGACTAGACTAATATGCGATTTGATGTTTTAATACACAACAAAATTAATTCTAGTATTTATTTTAACAAGTTTTGAATTTGGTTCCTGAAATGGAAAAATCAATTAAAAGTATTGATTATTTCTTTGTGTATCTGCCCCTGGCCAAATCAATGAAACAGTGCGTGCACGCTCCCTGAAGTAATTCACACCAGACACAGGTTCCAGGTTGTTGAATAACTTGAGGAATGTTTATTCAGAGGGGACGGCAAGTCCCTTTTAAAGCAAAATTACATCATAAGCATTGTCAGAGATAACATGGAATAATACATCAATTATTGGTTAGGTGTTAAGTGGTTGCTCTAATGCTCTGCCTACTGTAGGTGATGTCACCGGGACCATGAGGGTCTCCCACGGTTTCCCGGCGCCATCTTGGTGCACGAGGTAGTTAGTCGATGTTAGGAAGGAGAAAGGGAAGGGAGGGGGAAAAGGAGCAAGAAGCTTCTAGCAGCCATCTTAATTATAACGTGTGTGCTTAACTATATATATATATATCGTGAAATGAGTAAATAGACATTTTTCACTAACTAGGAAATATGTGTAGACCTTATTTCCACAACAGTCCCCCCTAAAATGGCTATTTACCATAACAACTGTTACTGTCCCTAATATGTCCCTAGTTGCCTGCAACCTATCTGTCTTAACTAGCATCGAACACTTCACTCCGCGGGTAACCCGCAGTGGCTAGTCCACTACATCTCCACACGTGAGACTCGCCAGTTAAGACAGACGCTTTCCCTATACTGTCCCTACAGGGAAGCAGTTGTTTGTTTGAACTGATGTGATTGAAGGGGTGTATGTGGAGTATCATCTTCGAGGTCTGTGATGTCTTGGTGTATGAAAGTAGGGGTCACGTCATCTATAGTCTTGTCCACCGCTTTCTGTAGATACTTCTGTATGCAGGGGAATATGCAACAGGTCAGAAATAAGAAAATAACGATCATTATGAGAACAGCTGTCCCCACCTGGAAGAGGGTCCTTTGCCAACCATTCATCCATCCAAACCATCTGTCCCAAGTGTCGATGACTCCTGAATTTTTCTTTAGCTCGTCTGCAAGACTATCTAACTTCTGTATGGCCATAGTCACCTTACCATTGGGCCCAGTGTTGTCTGGAATGTATGTGCAGCATGTCATGGTCTCAGGGAGGATTTTACATACACCCCCTTTCTCAGCTAGAATCATATCTAGGGCCATTCTGTTCTGAAATGTCATTTGGGTAGTGGCTTGTAGTTGCTCTGCCAGGCCCTGTAGGGCATCCCTAGTGTAGTTGACAAAACGCTGTTGATTATAGTAAATATAGTTAATCCAATTGACATTTTTGTTAACAGTTATCATTGGAATTAGGGACTCAAATCCTGCAGCCACTTCATCTCTTGCTTTGAATTCGTTAGGCACCCCCCTTGGCACACCTATGGCATCAATATACACATGGGGGTCGAAACTCCCTCGAATAGGAGTCTCTCGTTTGATTCTAGAGTGTGCATGTGTGAGGTTTAACGTGTTATGATCACCATCTGGAATGATATGGATGGGCATTATGACTTTGGTTAGGGCACACTCCCCCCACCATTGCCCAATTAATTGGGACCTCAATTGTTTATCCCCACATAACCAATAGATATCGCCGATTGTCTTTGTGTGGTTCATTAACAGTGATACTGGTGGATTATGGTAAGTTGAGCAATATCCTGATGGGAATTTGCCCAGATACAAACCGGTGTTCTTAGATATTGTATAACATGTGTAATTACCTGGGTAGATGGTGACTCCATCAGGTGGTTTTACATGTCCGTGAGTGATCGGGTAAATTCTCTTCCACGATTCACATGTCGAGGAATTGGTGACGGACTGTGTGTAAAGGCTCAGAACACATGATTCTACTTCAGGAGGTAAATTCAGAGGAACTGTGCCCAGATGGGGCCTGGCTCCCCCACACACGTAACAATTGGTCTTATTGTGTGAGTTGGCATTATACCTCATCCATTCTAGCCATAAATTAGTGTCTGAAAAACCAGTTTCCACTGCCATAGTGTCTTCAAAGGTGGGGTTGGCTATAGCTACCATGTCATGTAGGGTCTTAATATGTGGTTTTAACGGGTTAACGATCATGTGAGTGGTCCCCACCCAGTCGGGGGAGGTGAGCATGTCTTGTAGGTAGAATGTCCCCAGTGCATTGTGTGAGCCACCTCCCTTCCAGTACATCCCCATCACATATTCCCCCGCGTCCCTTGGACTAGGGTGTTCTATATTCAAGGTAAGTTTAATGGGAGTTGACCCTGTGGGTTTACTAAGAGTCATTCTAGAAAGTAGGGGCTTCCCGTCTTTGTCAAGTCTGTCTAGTGCAACCTGAGGTCTGTAGCCCCATGGTCTACCTGTATTCCACCCGGCAGCTTTCCATGAACTACAGTGGTGTCCCCAAGCTCCTCCAGTCACACAAATGTATGGGTCCTTTTTGTTAGGTATGTCCTTGTATATGGCTGCATGTTGTGTCTGTGGGAATGTACAGGTAACTATGTCACAGTAATCAAAGGTGTATGTAGCTACATCAGTATCAGAAGAATTGTACCAGAAAGTGTAAACATGATTATCTTTGGTTATGGCCACTTGTTGGGCCCAGGCAAAATGCAACAATATAAGAAAACACAAGACACATAATAAATTCATGTTTCAACAAGATCAGCTTCTCCTGGAGCAGGCACTTTTTTGCAATGTGAAGCGTGTATCCAGGAACTTTTTCCAGCTAGTTTAACTGACGTTGCTGTAATCAGGAGCACTTGATAAGGACCATCAAATCTCGGTTCTAGGGTGTGTTTCCTGAGGTACTTCTTAACCATAACCCAATCACCTGGAAGCAGCTTGTGTGTACCTGTATTCGACTCAGGATCTGGAATAGAAGAAAACACTTGGGCATGTATCTTGGTCAAGGCATGTGAAAGGGCAGTCACATAGTCTACCATAGCGTCTAACTGAATCTGAAGCTGTTGGGGAAAGTAGCAACCTAACCTGGGTGCTGTACCAAACAAAATCTCATAAGGTGACAAACTGTGTTTTCCTCTGGGAGTGTACCTTACACTGAATAACGCTAGTGGAAGACTCTCGGGCCAGGGCATGTTAGTTTCTTGTGACATTTTAAGCATTCTGGCTTTCAAAGTGCCATTCATGCGCTCTACCTTACCACTACTCTGTGGGTGATATGGTGTGTGGAATGCAAGGGTCACCCCCAGTGCTGACCAGACTTCCCGTGTTAGCGAGGCAGTGAAGGAGGTCCCTTGGTCACTTTCAATTACTTCTGGAACCCCATAGCGGCAAACAATTTCTGTCAAGAGGTATTTGGCTGTAGTCCTCGCGGTGAGATTAGTCACTGGGAAGGCCTCTGGCCATCCTGAAAACATGTCCACCATGACCAATGCATATTCATAACGTCCACTCTTTGGCATCTGAATGTGATCAATCTGGATCCTCTGGAAGGGATATTGCGGCTTGGCTAGGTGATTAGGTGCAGTCTTTATAATCTTTCCAGGATTGCATTTAGCACATATAGTACATGACTTACAGTAATTCTGTGTTAAGGTGGTGATGCCTGGTGCTTCGAAATACTTGTCAATCAGTGAATTCATCAGGAGTTTTGACAGATGAGCTGGCCCATGGGCCCATTGGACCACCGCTGGGTACATACTTCTAGGTAGGCAGAACTTGAGATTAATAGTGTAAACATCATCACAGAGTATAGCTCCTTTGTTCTTCCAACCTTGTTTCTCTTGGGGAGTAGCAGCAGCTTGCTGTTCCTTCAGAAGCCTGAGGTCTGTAGGCAATGTTTGCATAGTATAGATAGGCAGTGTATCTGTGGCCACTCTTCTGTCCACTTCCCATCTTTGCCGTGCTGCTTCTTTTGCTGCTTGATCAGCCAGGTGATTGCCACGTGCTTCTTCTGTGTCTAGTCTTCCATGGGCTTTTACCTTCAGTACTGCCACCTCAGCTGGAAGTTCCAATGCGTCCATCAGCTCTGCAATGGCTGCCCCATGCTTTACTGGGGTACCAGTGGCCGTAAGAAATCCTCTGGTCTTCCAAATTAAGCCAAAATCATGTGCTACTCCCAAGGCATATCTTGAATCCGTGTAAATGTTGACACGCAACCCTTCAGACAATTTGCAAGCCACAGTTAGGGCTGTCAATTCAGCTTCTTGAGCAGACTTATTTGGTTGTAGGGCAGCTGCTTGTAACACTTGACATTCTGTGGTAACTGCATACCCAGTGTGATATTGCCCTTGTTCATCAGCAAATCTTGACCCATCCACAAATAACGTTTGGTCCGGGTTGAGTAGTGCAGCTTCATAGACAGTTGGTAGATGTGTAGTTTCCATTTTCATTTGTTCAAAGCAATCATGAGGGATATCGAGGTCACAGTCTGTGGTGAGTGGATCCTCACAGGCTTCTGTATGGTACCTGGGGTACCCAGTTGTACAGTAATTAATGGTCTTTTTGTTGATTCTCGTAGAAGTCAGTTGTTCTGGGGTCATTTGACTCCAGGTTTTGGCCATCGGGCCTAGGTCTTTCCACGAGATGTCGGGGGGTCTGGTGAGAGATATGTGTGGGATCGATGTTTCCCAATGGTGATAGAGATGTGTCACACTCTCTGGGAGGTGGACCAAGATAAGCATGGTACCTGTGAGGTCCCAAAACAAGTCAGTCAGGGTAATTTGGATTTCTTTGAGTTGGAATACCTCTGCCTCGTAATTCATATCAGGGCCTGGTTCATCCCTAATCCACAAAGTGCAATGAAGTAGGGTCATTGATTGTTCATCATGTGGAGGTGCAAGTGCAGGTAGTTGCAGATTTGTTAGAACTTCCGGGTTGATATCCAGGCTGTACCAGTGGTACACAATTCCCCCCTTGGGAAGTGGCAGAAGAGTGGCCGGGTTCAGGGTTAGGCATCTCTGAAGTTTTATGTTATCAGGTAAAAGCAATGAGGTTTGCAGGCGGAGGTGGCGTTGGGAGGAAAGGTGCTTGGGTTGAATTTGTTGCAGGATAGCAGTAATGTCATGGGGGGCCAACACGGTAAGGTGATGGCCAAGCACAAAGTCATTAGTCTTGTCCAGGAGGGCACTGGCGGCAAACACAGCACGGAGGCAAGAGGGGCTGCCCCTTGCAACAGGGTCAAGCATACAGGAAAAATAGCCAATGGGCCGTTGTCTGGACCCATGTTTCTGAGTAAGGACTCCGGAAGCATGTCCTGATTTTTCAGAGACAAACAAATTGAAAGAGAGTTGATAGTTGGGTAGGCCCAAGGCAGGAGCAGAGGCAATAGCTCTTTTCAGAGTATGGAAACAGTTAATAGTTTCTTCAGTGAGGTGAAAGGGCTCACTTCGAAGTGCATCATAGAGAGGTTGCATGAGTTTGGATGCTTCAGGTATCCAAGACCTGCAGTATGTTATGAGACCCAAGAAAGCATGAAGAGAGTGATGGGTTGCAGGTAATGGGAGTTGCAGGATAGCTTGCACCCGTTGTGAGGTTAGATGTTTGGTGCCATGGGAAAGGCAGTGTCCCAAGAAGACCACAGAGGGCCGGCACCATTGTAGCTTTGATTTTGAGGCCTTGCACCCGGCAGCAGCGAGGAAACATAAGAGATCTTCTGAGTCACGTTCTGCAATTAGCAAATTAGGAGCACAGAGTAGAAGGTCATCAACATATTGTAGTAAAACAACATCGAGATGTGATTTCTGCCATGG